ATTAAGGTGAAAACATTGCAGCAATAGTCAACAAAAGACTGAGTACGTCACTAGATACAGCCTATCCTGCAGCTAAGTTGGTTCCCGTCCATCGAATAACATGCTATTTGGTGCAGTCTAAAGTCGATAGATACCCTATTCATGTTAACTCCAACTGTGTATACAAATTTACGTGTATCTGCGGGAGCAGTTACATTGGGAGAACAGAAAGAAGGGCACACCTCCGATTTTCTGAACATGTGCCGAAAAGCTTACGTCTCAAGGGAACAAACTCTTATAATAGCGCTATTACCAGACATCTCGATACGGGTAATGAAGTGGAAATCGTGAAATCCTTTAAAATTATCAATAGACCAATGAGCTCAATTCTCCTCTAGTTTGCCGAAGCAATTACTATCAAACGCTTGAAACCAGATTTATGTGTTCAGAAAGAAACAGTTATTAGTCTATCTTTACCCTAGTAACTGGATGTCTTTATTCTTCCTTTCATTTTGATTACGCAATCTTTGGCTTTGACCTCACCCCTTTGACATAGTGTAATTTTGCTTCTCTCTTGTTTCTATGATTTGAGTTGAACTCAGCACATTGTTACCTAATTTATTAGTCACTCAGCATCTTACGCATCTCCGATCTTTATTACGTAACTCCTTTACCATTGCATGCATACATTTACTTTGATTAAACTTGAACTACCTGTGTAAAAACTATATAAGCGCAATTTTTTTAGTACTATTCACTAACTGTGGAACCTTCTGTCAACTGACGTCATAAAAACTTGCAAGTATGTTGAAACTTTTAATTACATAAACCTCATAATTTATTAAGACTGTAAGCAACTGATGAGAAGTCAACGAAATAAATGATGGTACCATAATATTCTGCACAAACCATTGTTTTTCTTGCTTTATTCAAATTTATATTTCTTTTGGTCTAGTAGATACCCGGGCAGACCCGTTGGAACATTTCAGCCAGTTTAGCTCTTTAGGTCGTTTTAATTTGGAATAATAGACAAATCATCTCAAATGAAATCTGGTTATCGTCTTTGAATGGGTATGGGATTGCATTGCTATATATTTTCAAGTCTTTATCGTCTGGTTTTCTATCCTTCTACTCTTCAACTATTACACTGCTTTAGTTTTTCATTTAATTACTTAGACACAAACCTTTCAATGATTCTATAACTAGTTTGAAAATCAGACAGTACTTGACCCTAGTTCTGTTTTGATTTTAGCTTAAATGGTCCCGACCGATAGCTGCTATTATGACGTGGTGTTCCGGCTTGCATATCGAAATGACGCAACAAGTTACCCTAGCTGGTCCTACCATGCTAGAAGCGTTGTTTAGATAGCGATTACACTAAAAGTAGTTACCTTCATAGTATAAGTTGGGAGTCTGTGGGCGAAAGCGTACTGCTTATGAACAGGGATGTGATAGAAGTATGGTGTTTCCTTCAAATGACCAGCATTTTAGAAATGGTGCCTCTCCAATCTGAAAAGGGGGATTGTAAGAACAGGGTGACACCTAAAATTGTACATCCCCACTTACCTTGATTCGGTAAGATCTAAATAAGGACACATGACCACCAATTCAAGCAGTTGTGAAAAATGCTCTGTGGTCATGCAACACTATACTCTTTCTGTCTCGGGTACTTCAATAAAAAAAATCAACTCTAACGTTGTCAGCAGCCAGGATGTAACAACAGCTCATACGCTTCTGAGAGCATACAACACTTTCCTGATCTTCATACAACTTTATCTAAGTCACCTTCATCTTACTTTCCGTTTTCTGTCAACACTGTTCCACACACAAGTCCTTCATCTTTTCTTAACTCTGCGACCGCTAATAGAGACGAGAGACAGAAAAACACTACTGATAGTCTCTTAAAATCACGCTGCCACATTCACATTGAAGCATTTGATGTCAGGACCATTTGCCAAGTCGGACAACAGGAATCACTAGCCAGAGCCATCTCGAGAGATGCGTGCATGTTGTATTTTGGAGACATGCAGGCAAGACCCAAGTGTGGTTATTCACTTAAACCCACCAGGTCAACAGGCTGAATCTGCGAAATTCCAATTACGGGTGTCAGAAAATGATTCGGCTAGTTAGCAGGGACGCGCAGGTATCTGGATAGCATTGAGAGTTACGGCAGAAAAGTCCATACTTGATTATATTTCAGTAGATAGTCGTATGCGTGCTATCCAACTGAGCGGATTCGTTAGAAGAAGGAAGGATGGCATTACTCGTCGCTGTCTTTTCATAATCTCCGCTTACGCCGCAACAGACTGAAGTTCAGATATACAAAAGCATGATTTCTACCAGAAACAGCCTAGTTTGCTACGAAAAGCAAAACGTACAGACACAGTTGCTTTAGCAGGCGACTTCAATGCCCGAGTAGGGCAGTTATGCCAGATTGAGAAGCATATGTGGTAAGTACGGAGTTCCCTGCCGACGAACCGACATCGGTGATCGTCTTTTACAGTTCTTTCCAGATAGTCATCTGTTCCTAGTCAGAACTAACTTTAGACACAAAGAGAGACTGCGTAACCTGGCGACGTCCATCACCAAACCAATGCTGAACTCAAATAGACTATACAGCGATAGGGTATCGCTGGCGAGGGTCCGTAGAAGACTGTTGGTCCTTCTGAAAAATGCATAGATTCAGATCACGCCCTGGTTCGTTCCTACGATTGGATGGACAACAATGAGACTGTTACGCCTCCAACTCAATCAGGATACTAAGTTCTTGTTTAAGAAACAAATAGCTACAGCGTATCTGAGATCGACAGCAAGGGCAAATAACAAGTGCGACAGTCAGCTCTCAGGATAGACTGCAATGTTGGAGGGAGCGATTTAATTGGCCTAAAACCACACTCAACTTGCCCCACACCTAACTGAATGGGATGTAGAAACTGGTCCTGCGTCTGTAACTATGGTCACAAAGGCTGTGTTTAATTCTAAATGAGGTAGAGCAGCAGGACCAGACGGAATGATTCCCGAAATGTTTAGGAACAGTGATGACAAACTCCTGTCTGGGCTAACGAAGGTATAAGGCAACGTCTGGGAGTCAGAGATAGTTCCGTTGGACTGCTGTAAGTCATTGATTATCCCAGTACACAAGAAGGGAGACAAGTCTCCCTGTGACAGTCATACGGGAATTAGATTGACTAATATGGTATCTAAAGTCCTAGGTTCAATAATCATACGCAAACTAAGTAGTACTCGGGAGAAACAAATGCGAGAGAACCAGGCAAGCTTTGAACCAGGAAAAGTGTATTGGGTCATATGGTCACCCTTCGACAAATTCTGGAACACAGGCATTTTTATTAATCTGAAGACGGAATTTGACCTCATCGACTGAAAAGTCTTGTCATAAAGTCTGAGTGTGAAAGGAATGTCGGTAAAGGTACACCACACCATCAGTCAAGGCACTCTATTCGAATTCACACAACCATTTAAGAGGTTATGGAGAGTTGTCACCTGAAGTGATGCTAACCAGTGGTGTCGTTCAGGTATTTCACCATAAATATGATGATGAATGTGATTCAAGTCGATTTTAGCGATTTGGGATTGACTTGTTGCCAAGGAGGACTAAGATGATTAAAAGTATGCGGATAAGCAATGTTAGTCGGCATTGGAATTAAGTCAAACCAAAACCAGTTATCAGTCCATGAAGACTTCAGCTGTTAGTTTTAGCCATTTAGGCAGGTGTAGGCTGTCTGGTTGATGTTCTCAGCATTCTAAGAACCAATGGAAGGAGACTATTCGTCATATGGATCAAAATCTTTCTTAATGGTTCACAAGCAGTCAGTCTCTGCGATCCACCGTATTCACTAAATCGGTAATTTTTTTTCCCATGCTACTATACCTTCTTCCTCACATTTCTGCTTATTACAGTGTATAGTGTAGCGTTTTCTCTTCTTTGTGTGCTATATGGAGTGTGGCGACTTGAACTGCTCGACTTCTGTGCAAAGTTTCACTTTGATATAAGAATAAAACTTGGGCACTGTGGTAAAGTGTAATTCCATTATGGGTAAATTTTAATTTGATAGAGTCTCACAGTGTTATACAGTAATATTTACTGATGACTTTTCGAGCACAATTTATTGCTCATAATCATATCAAGGTGATTATGATATGATGATTATGATTACCTCGCTAAGCCGGTTATAAGACAGGTAAAGGGAGAAGATCGGACATGAGGCTATCAACCCCAACCCCGTAAAAACAAATACCACTGCTACAGAAACTTTAAGCCTCTGGGGATGCAAAGGAATAAAATTAAAAAATACAACTTTACTATAACCGGGGAGAGGGGAGGGGAATAAAATCATACTTAAAAAAGCTGCAACTGTGTCCAGATACTGAAGACATTGTTAATGAACCAATCTTGGTAAGCGAAATGCTCTCCAGTCAACACCACTATGAAAATAGGCAGGGGGAAACACAAATTCAATAATCTCCCCCATAGTGTGTGTATGTATTCAGAGAAACCTTCTGGCCAACTAACTAGTAATAAGGAGAAAGATTGAGGAACAGCTTGTCTGCATAGTGCACTGAATTACTGTGTTGTAAATCAAGGGAAAAGACAACAGTTATAATAATAATTATTAATAATAATAATAATAACGATTATACTATAATAATATTATATACTTAATACAAGAAGGTGCAAAAAAGGAGACAATAACAATAAGAATAGCCAGAGAACCATCCTATCAAGTTTTTTATAAATGGACAAACCGCCAGACAGTAGATGTGTGTATGTGTATGCATTTAACCACAACAACATGTGAAAAGAGACTTGGGTACAAAATTTACCGACCACAATGTATATTGTGAAAATAACTAATAATAATAATAATAATATTTATTATGTATGCAGTGAATGAAAGTTAATCAAGTATCAATTAATAGTCAGTTATTACTATTATTATTATCATCAGTAGTGTTACTGTCATTACTTTTTTATTCTTAGTCTTTAATAGTGATGCATATATATATGTATATATATATATATATATATATATGTATATGTATATAAGGTGAAAGAAAGTCAACTAAACTATTTTGATATACTTTTTTCTTTGGAGAAGAGACGGAATAATAACAACAACGGCAAGCAAAAAAAACGAGATACGGAGAGAGAGAGAGGCTGGTGGGTAGAGTGGGGTGGGGGAGAGAACCAACTGGATTCAAAGTCACTCAAGCATCTAGTTCACTTCGGCAAGCATTTTTCTCCTCTGTGATGGTCACCTGTTACTTATTCGAGATGTATAAATATTCACGCCTAATGTGATACACAACAAATCCACTTAGCCCTCCTTATTACTTTCTAAGATGATGACAGAGACAACTATTTTCCAGAGTTGCATTTTCTTAATACTTCACATTCAGTTGCGTGTGTGTGTGTGTCAACCTTATCAAAATGAATAATTTATATTTACTAGATTATGAAAAGAAATCCACGATAGACGGCAGATAGATAGATAGATGAGGAGAGAGAGAGAGAGATGGCACTCACCCTAGGGACTACAGTGGATTAAGAAGGAAGATTATCATTTTCTCCGTTTATAATGATTACACAATATAGATGCAGGTCGTGAAGGTGTGTATCAAACCAACCAGCCAACTAACAACATTTGTGATCAACCAAAATGAAAGAACAAAAGGGGAAGAATGTTAAGAGAAAGAAGAGAAACAATCCTCCTTCAGTGTCTGTGGGAAATGGAAATATGTGTATATTCTTGACAATGTTCGCTATACAAACTGAGTAGTAGTAGTAGTCGTAGTCACTATAGTGTAGCTACTAAGATATACAAAATACTAATACAGTACGTATATCGTCAGTAGTATTATATAATAGAGAGACTGAAGAGAAAAAAGAACTAAAGTTACTATTAATTAATTAATTCACTGTTACACACCACTAGATAGAAATCTCTGTTCGCCTAACACATGCTTTTACACCTTTTCTTGAATTATTGTAAAAATAAACAAGTGTGTGGGTGGAGGCGGAGGACAAGGTTGGTCTTAACCCACGAATTGAACTACGACCCAAACGAACTGGGTGTAATATGATTGTTTTTTCTTTAACAAACAAAAACAGACATACAGAGTCGTTTAATTGGAACCAAACTGCAATCCTAATAATATTATTATTATCATTACTATTATAATATAAGGGTATGTACGTATTTATGTGTCAGTGAGCAAAACAATATCCAACAGTCAAACATGCCACACGTACAAGCACATGCTGCACAAACACACACACACACACACAAAGTGAGACAGTACACCATCATATTGGATTGTGAATAGTGTATTGAAAAAAGAACGAACGAACAAACAAACAAACAATAGTTTCAGTATAACGGCGGTGTATATCGTTAGGAAAACGGAAGATGATAAACTCAAATAGAAAGTGGTATTAATAGTCATAATAGTAGTGGTAATAATAATAATAACAATAGTAATAAAGTATTACAATTTGTTTTTACAAACAACCCATGTTGAATAATAGAAACACGACACCTTTGTTTACTACTGTCACTATTAGTGAAGCGAGGGTGAGAAAAAAAACTGCCGAAACAATAGAAACATGGAAGTTATCCAACTAAGTATAACGGAAAGTATATATATATATAAATTATTTGTATATATGTAAAAATGAGTATATAGGTATTACATATTTAGGTGTCCCAGAAGTATTTGTTTGATTTGCAAAAATTAATAATCACCAACATCAACATGAAAAAAAGATGAGGAGCAGTGGAGGTTGTGCGGGGGCGCGCGGGCGGTCGGGATGGAGAAAGTGAATTGTAATACGCTTCTCTGTGTCAGAGAATGAAACAGTTAAGTTGATGAATCCATTGGTTGACCATTACCTAAGGTATAACCTGTAAGAAAAAGGAACAATTTGAGTAGTAATTAGCAGAATGAGAAAATATTTGAGTATAGGATGAAAGTGAAAAAAGACACAAATCATTCGCAATCTTAGTAAATTCAAAACTGCTGTTTATAAGAATTCTAAACAACATAATATGCTTAGAAGTGTTGGCTTCTAGGGATTTGATTGGTTGCAAGTCTGATCACTAGTTGACATCATATATATAATGAAAAGAAGTATATATATATATATATATACACGAATTCGCAGAAGTTGGAATTTATGGGCTGGCCATTGAATCGGGTCCCAGTGGCTGAATGGTCTACGAGCTTGTTTTGTAACCATAAGGTCCTTGGTTCGGACCGCAGTGGTGACGTACTGTTGAGGTGTTGCAAACTAGGATGAAACAACTGTCTAGCACTCCCCGGTTTTCCAATGGTTCTCTAACTAATGTTAACTAGTAATCAATCCTGGAACACCATATTTCTCTACAAGCACAATGAATAATTGTGGTATGTACATATATACGTGGGTCGACAAGAAGACTCTAGAAGATTCGGATTTCGTGGACTATTTACCTTTGACGTCAAACAAACTTGAAGATCTACTGGTGAAAACTAAAAAGTTCACAGATAAGGCAAAGAAGACATCAAGTGAACAGAGAGAAGACAGAGGTGATGAAGATAACTGACCACCACCACCACCAACAACAACAACGAAAACAACAACAAGCTCCAGTCACTATCAACGGAAGAAATTTGAAGGAAGTCAATTCCTTTCAACTGCAGGCGGCACGAATATGGACTTCAAAAGAACTTTCATTAATCTGAAATCAAACTGGAAATCTACGGCACGAAGCATAAAAAGTACGATTCAGAGATTTTCAACACTAATCTCAAGTCACACATCTTCTGTATGGTTCGGATATTTGACCTGTGCACCACCAAAGGCTCCTCCAACAGGCTGCTGAAGACTTCCATTTACAACTGCGTTAGGTGGCTCTACGGTGAAGAGCAGATGACCGGTCAGAAAGCAACAACTACAAGAAATCCAGGCGAGGAACCAACCAACAACCTACTACCCTATAAATAAGCCAAAAGAAATGGACATCGGTGAGATGCACACTGAGAAGACCATTGAATAATATCACATGCTACATCCTCCAGTAGGAAACATGTCGGGCCTAGGTTCAAAGGTGATATGAAGGAGACCATGTGAAAAGGAGGTGAGAGATTATGGGCAATCGTGAAGCCAGCTAAAGGCGACTACAGAGAACAGAATGAAGTGGAGATGTGCAAATGAAGCCCTATATTTCCCCACCAGGAACCTAAGGGAGTAATAATAACAATATTGATTCAGCATAGATTATTGAACTTATTTCGTCTCTGATAAGATTTACTCATGTTTTATCTTTTTTGAGCACCAGTTATCCACCCCAGCTCAGACAATACAACAATACTAAGTATCAAGAAACTGGTCGGACGCAAATTTTAAAACATAGTGACTGACAGATTTCAACGTTGAAAATGGAAAGAGGTGCAGCAGTTCAAGGTGCCACACTTCATGCAGCACACACAGCAAGAAATGAGAGTACACGGAAATCCAAAAGAGATAATAAACAGAAGTGAGAAAGGAAAAAGAATAATAATATGGAAAAAATAATAGTTTTATTGGATATGACAAGTCAAAAAGAGTGAATGCATCTGCGCCATTGACAACGACGATTTTGAGCCATATCAACTGTCTCTAGCCTTCATTGGTTCTTACCATACCGAGAACACCAACCAGTCAGGCAGTCTACACTTCCCTACGTGACTGGATCAGACTAACTATTGAAGATTTCAGTGACTGATGAAGCCATGTTTTCATTTGACCACCAGTAACTCTTCTCCAACCTGATCCATCCTATGTTAGTTACCACTGCCCATTTTCGAGGAAGGCGATGGATGGCTAGGCATGCGTAACACATGTCCTAACCATCTCAATAGATGCAACTTCACAACCTCGTCGACTGATTTCCCCTCATTACCTAGCACTCGACTGTTGCCCCGCCTATTACACCACTTAACACGAGAGGTAGAACGCAGACACCTATAATCAAAGACAGCTAGCCGAGCTTTTCATGTCCTCCACTCTCAATGGTCATGTCTTGCTCACAACCATAAAGGAGGACAGTCAGAGACGCAGTAATTTGGCATATGCCAAGCGAGCCTACTGTATCAATACTGAGACTTCGTCAGCTGTTAACCCGTTGGGGCTGATGCAGCTCCTTAAATAAGTGAATACGTTAACACGTTCTACCACTTCATCCCCTATCTTTAAGCTAGGAGTCAATGTAGCCCAAGACATAGTTCAATGCTCCAAGGAATTACCCGAGGAATTCCATCATTTGTTGGTGAACAGATTTATATGTTAGTTTGTTGGTTTTGGTGATACATTACTAATTATCCAGCACAACTAAAATGCTCATGATCAATATCAAAGCAACCACAGAAAATTTCAAAATCTCTGTAACAATCCTCAAGTAACTTCTTGAACCTGTGCTTCACAAAATAATTATAATGAGTGTTGAATAATTCCATTTGTTGCATGTACACTCTCAGCTGAATATCGATTGTTGGATCTAAATGAAATCAGTCATGTCGACCGGAAAACACGTGGCTTAGCTATCACGCACAATGCATGCAGTCAACAGTAATGACACTATACCATGACAAAGGAAACAATCATACATGGAATGTGTTCATGATACAATGAGTCATAATGGCTTATCTATTTCCTTTTTAATCAAGTATATAGATGCATATGATGACCCAATTCAATACACTAATTCTGTTGGTTGGTCCAAATATACATGACAATGAATCATTGTACATTTTTTAATGCTGTGTGTTTGAGGCTGGCTAAAGCAATCTGTTGAATAGCTATCTGGGTTCTGGTTACCGTGATGATTACAAGATTCCTAATGCAGTTGTTGTCGTTCTTGCTCGATTCTATATGGAAGTTATTTAATTCAAATAACAAAAAAACAACGCCAATAGGAAGAGAGAGAGAGACCGATTAGTTAAATCCTTGTTTACGAAATCACAATAATCACTGAGACGGCTCGAAAAAAGCAGATTGCAAGTATTTACGGGATTCTCCTACTAAAGAAAAAAAATGGGAGGAACAAGACACAAGAGGATAAGAAAGCTTGATTAGTTTTTTCCTTAAAGTTGTTGTAATGACTACTTTTGTGGTGGTGTGATACAGATAATATGTGCCTACGGAATGTTATTCTCACATGTTCCCACGGTTCAATACGGCATTAGCGATAGAATATTATGTATATTTGAATATTCTATTTCACGTCGTTCGATATAAAACGAAATCACACGCTCAGTGACAGGTTAAAGAATATAAACTGTAGATATATAAACAGTGGTTTGATTAATGAAAAATATACTTTGGCTGTTACACTTTGACATGGTTACAGTAGACTGGGGTCGGAAATTTCATCCAGTAGAAAACAGTGTCTGACTCTGTGCTATACACAAACAATGAACAAAATAACCCCCCCACACACACACACGTGAATGCACTAATTTAGCTTTTATCAAAAATAGCAAATAACGTCTGATCTCAAGACCATACAAGAGAATTCGTAGTTTCAACCACAAAGGGGAAAGTCCCTCCAATTTCAGCTCCACTTCAGTCATTTGTCTACAAGCATTTCACTTAACAAAATTCGAATATCAAATCATCATTGAAAAAAAAAATAGGCAGAATTTCGTGTGTCGAAAAAGAATACATATCAATCGGATGACCAGTTGGTAGCTGTGATTTCCAGGTCATTGGTATGTTGTATTCTGTAGCAATCCAGACTTCCATTTCACCACTACATAACCATGCATTGCATAAATAATAAGCAGTCAATGGACTTGAAATATGCTAAGTTGTCTAGACACATTTAACCATATTTAAAGAAAGTCCACCAATGAATATAAAAGTATTCATTAATAATTGATTGACACAAACTTTATTGATTCTTTTTTTTTTGAATCAGTATGAAGAACCCTGCTGAGTTTTATGTATGTATAAAGTATGCTAACTAGTGCAATAAAAGAACAATTTGTAACCTGGTTAGTAGTAATATTTATAATCTTAAGACACAGAGAGAGAGAGAGAGTGAAATTTCTGGATGAAAAACATTATTGATCTTTTACTGTGGCATAGTATCATCATCATTACAGTGCTCGCATAACTGGCCTATAAGAGGAGGGGAGGTTGGTTGTGAAGAAATACATATATCCGATAGTCTACAGCTTCGTCAACAGTCCATACTGAGTGCCTAGCCTAACTGTTTGAGCGGACTAGTTAAACTGAAAGTGCACTAGCCGTTTGGTACACTGTCGTGTCATGTCCAATTGTGGGTACACGATCAATAGTTAGCAACGTTGTATATATATATTGTCACATGTATTTAGTTATTTGAATGTTTTTTACACAGAAATTAACAAGATCTTCTACGTTCCTTATTCATCGGGAAGTATGAGTGACTGTTAGAGTTCTATAGAACTTGGATTTCGGCAGAAATCGGGATGATAACATAAGATTGATTGATGCTTTTCCAGTTTCATGACTATCTTATTATTATTTATTATTTTACGAGTTGATCACGGACTGATATCAGTTAGAGAACCATTGAAAACCAGGGAGTACTGGACATTGTATCGGGTCCCAGTGGCTGAATGGTATACGAGCTTGCCTTGTAACCGGAAGGTCCTGGGTTCGAATCCCAGTGGGTGCGTACTGCCGATGATTCCCATACTAGGATGAAACAGCAACTGTCCAGTACTCCCTGGTTTTCAATGGTTCTCTAACTGATATCAGTCCGTGATCAACTCGTAAAACATAACTAATCCTTACAAACAAAACTATAGAAAATTTATTATTTTTTTCCTTCACGTTCCCACTGGAACAGAAGGTTTCAGGCTAGGGCCTTGAAGTTTTATTAGCGGTAATTTTACTTTTACCGGGTAGGGTTGCTAGTCTCACGCCCGAGTTTCCGTCTTTACCGGTCTTACAACTGACTTAGCGAAGTCTAGGTGTGTGTGTGTGTCGGTTGGGGGATTAAACCCCAGACCACATGTGGCTCGGTTGGCGAGCGTTCTACCACCGAACCAACAACAACAACACACTTCACAACAGTTAGTATTGATTGACAAAGATTCAGTTACCCAACTACGTTTCCATCTTATTAATTTATAACTTACAACTATCACCTGCGGAGAAAACCGAATTCGGCGAAGAAATATAGTGAATATAACTTTTCAATCTAGAACGATGAGCAGAGTAAAAATTACTCGTCCTTATCACGTCGAAAAGAGGCGATAATTAATCAGGAAAATTAAGACGACAATTAAGAATTACGCAATAATTATTTCACTGAAAACTACTTTGTTCAGATTTATCATATGCTTGTATAACTGCATGAAATGGAGTATCGGTGGCACAGCGGTAGAATGCTCGCCAACCACGCCCCATGTGGTCCGCTGTTCGATCCCCGGCCATCGACGCACTCTTTTATCTCGCTAAGCCAGTAAAAGGGCTGGTAAAGAGGCAAGGTTTGGCATGAGGCTAGTAACCCCATCCTGTAAAAATAAACAGCACTGCTACCGAAACTTCAAGCATCTAACTTGAAACCCTATGTTCCACTAGGAATGTAAAGGAATTTTTAAAAAATGAAGTGGAGAGCTGATGAGCTGCATTTTACACCGTAAAAGATCTTATGAACTTCCCAGGCTCCAACGATTTTACTGATGTCCGTAACAGCCCACTAACACAAAAATCATCGGAATATATTTCGCCTATAAGATGCAATTGGAAACCAAGTTGGTGGATACCGCGGCTATTGAGGAATTAATTTAGTATTTTAAAAACTCCTTCCTTGTCATACGACAGTGCCGCGAGATTTTAATTTTATTGCAGTTGAATGCCTTATCACTACTACTGTCTTAAAATGTGTCTGTAATTGACTAACTAAAAAAGCCCGCATTTTTCCCTTCTGCTTTCCAGTTTCCGTGCTCTGTTGTTTGCAGACTGATCTAAATTCCTACGTAGTATTAGTGCATTTTTATGTTTGAATTATTTTCCGAATTGAATTTTTCCATTGAACAGAACTTCTAATTTAGGCTTAGATTTCATCTTCAAATGCATAATACGGAGAGAAGTAAAAAAATTTCTACGATTATTCCAGCTTAAATTAACTAAAACAACCTTTTGCAATAGCAATGCATACACGCTAGTCGACTAACACAATCATACATAGAAATGATAAATTACTCACGTTGTGGCCCCCAAATGCATAATTCACCAGCATCATTTACTGAAGCTATCATTGTAGGCAATACAGGATTCCAGTGGACACAGGTAATTGGATCTCTATTCCCGGTTCCAGGAGTTGAATGTATAGGATGGCTGCCACTACCAATATGCCAAATATGTATCCTACCATCTAAATGTTGAAAGAAAAGCAATTATAACTAAATGCTAGGTAAAATAATACGTAGGAAAAAGGTGAGAAGATAAGAAAGTAAACACTGGAAGGAATTCTTCTTTCTTCTCACAATGTTACGGAGAAAAGCTTGAAAAAAGATCATAACGCAGTAAATTTTTCGCTGTAGGAATAAATAAATGCATAGAAGGAGGCAAAAAAGAAAAACTTTTAAAAAGTAATATTAAAACGCTGGTTTGAACAACAAAACCATAATAATAATAATAATAGCAATTGCTATTATGATACTTTTTATCAAATAAAATTCTGATTTTCCCGTTGATTGACTGAACTGAAATGTTCGGCCTCTGTTGACATGCCAGCTCAGCTCCTGGAGTGGATGCTTCGACGATGTCTGAGGATTAAATAGAAGTAATTTGGTGGATTGTGACTGGCAATGGAGTCCGGGATACGCATTTCGTCCTATTCGGAACTAGTCATGCTGGATGTACCTGCACTCCCCCCTCGCCAGTTGGTGAGTGGTGGTGTTCCCTACTGGGGCTTGAACACAGTACCCATCGTTTCAAACGCTATCCACTAGACCACTTGGGCCACCACCTCTTATGCAACAGGTGTCGGTTATTCTTTATTTTTAATTCAGTTTTGGTGTATGAAACGCAATGGGTACTAGATTCGAATTTGCTTGATTTCTTGATTACTATTCATGGTATCAAGCAGGTCATATATTGTGATATGATTAATTTGGTCTCCGCAGGAAACTGTGGTGAAAATTTCATCCCTCGAACTGTGTATAGATATGACCAGTTTGCCAATTGTTAATCCCATTACGCCAACTAACGCAAGAGATAGAAAGCCAACACCTGTGGTCAAACACAGCTAGCCTTTTCGTATATTCTACGTGCAGCGGTCACATCTCTCAACCATAGAGACGAATAGAGCACACTGACTGTTGCGACGTACACACGGTCTTTAGTCGATCACCGCCAGAGGTGCGTTGGGTTCGTAAATATCACATGAGGCATGCTGCGATTCTGTCAGAAATTGGTTCGTTGGGACTGGTGCAACTTCCCAAATCAGTGAAGTGGTCAACACGCTCAACTGTTTTCCTTCCTATCTTTGCCCTAGGTGTAGGTGCGCACCAGTCCCTGAAGCACCATGCTGCATTTGGCAGGGAGGAATCACATGCCAAACATATTAAGATTTAGTTGAAGGTGTTTAGAAGACTGCATTTTAACGACGTCTTCTTCGAAGAAATAACAACCAGTCACATTGAAATAATGGTGTCTCTAAAATTACGAAATGCACACAAATTGTTACACTTAATGCATGTGCGGTGAGAATTAAAGAACACATAAAAAATGAAATGAATTATAATTTATCTCACGCAATGGTATACTAGCATTACAAAATTTCAGCAAAGGCAACACAAATTGTATAAAATGTTACATTTTCTTGTGAATGTTGTTAGTGGTGGGGGTGAGGGTGATGGTGGTGGCTGTGAAAACCTGTTTGTTCTGTGCATACATCATACATACACCCATCAAATTTGTTTGATTCAATAAATAATAGGACGAAGGTGAAGGCTATTGCAAGATGTTTTCGAGCATAGTGTGTAGCAAACGTCACAATAGACATTTCAGATAATTGCGTGGATGGTGACTACCATTAGATTCCTATTTAGGACACGTCAGCTGGATGCATCGGCATTCCCCGCTGGGGCTCGAATTCAGTAGCCTTCGTTTCAAACGTCAAAGCGTTATCCACTAGACAACTTGGACCTACGGGTGCAGCTGCTCACGTAACAGGTATCAGTTAATTTCATGTTTTAAGTCAATTTTGATATTCCTGTTGACTGACTGGCTTGAAATGTTCGGTCTCTGTTAACATGTCGGCTCCTAGCGCGGACGCCCTGACGATGTCTGAGGATTAAAATTCACCGAATTATTTCGGCCCAGTGAATCCACGGGAAATAAAAATTGACTTAAAACACATAAGACATTTCAGATGTGTGAAAAGGTTGATTAAAAACACATATTTAAAACAGCCAAATATAACATCTGATAGTAAATCACAGTGTTCCCCTAAAGACGTATTGCATAATCATATAAGACCGACAACCTGAGTAAATTCAAACTGTAATTGACCACCTCCATCCTATCTGTCTCTATATTCACTTATACTGAGACGAAAGTGCAGCAAGCTTTTTTTGCAGGAATAACTTTAGTATTAGTAAATACCAATTATGTTTGTTCCTTCGACTCCTCTTTTCTTTTTCTTTTATCTTAATCACCAACTTTCCTTTTTTTTCTCACTGTTGTACATTATTCCATTGTGAACGCAGTTGGGAATTGGGATTTTTGTTTACTGAATGTATTAGTGTTCAACTGGTAAGGTGTAAAAATAAAATGTGTCTAGTATGATCAAATTATATACGTATATATATATATATATATATATGTATATGTATATTATATATATATATATATACATATATATATATATATGTATATATATATATATATATATATATATATATGGTGTAATGATAATGAAGCAGTCACTTACTTTCACTTCCTGTGGCTACAAAATCTTCATTAGCTCCACCAAATGTAGAATATAATCGAAAAGTATCCTGTTTATGACCAACAAAACGTTGCAGTATACCACAAGCTCCCAAATCCCATAAATGTAATCCCTTTTTATTAATTAAAAAAAAGAAAATAGTAAGGAATACTACCATAAATAACTGATATATATATATATATTCACGCTGGAATTTCAATGTTTCTAAGAGCAAAGCAAGAGAAGCTGTACCAAAACTGGATAACACTTTCAGTACAACTTTAAATGCTTTAATGGCGGACAACAACTAATGAAGTGGAACTTGACAGATATAAAGAAAACCAACATTGAACAATGCTGTGAACACATAGTGGATACACACAGACACACACACACATGTACCTCATTATAAATAAAGTGGTTTGGTCATATAACGAGTATCCACGCTTGTTTTTCCTTCAACACTACGACTCTTCATGAATACTGAATAATAATTGTTCGTATTAATTATAATTCGTGTTTCAATAAAGGACGCACGATTTTCTGTGTGAAATGCTTCTCTGAAGTACATAGGATAAACCACCAAAGCGTTAGAAGGCCAAGTGATGTTCTGTACTACAAGAATGTGTTATAACTACAATACAGAAGAAATTGGGTCAGACTGTGGGGACCGAGAAGACAGGAATACTCTGGACCACCGATAAGAAGACTTTAGAAGATCTGGATTTCGCGGATGATTAGTGTCTCATGTCACACAAACTCAAAGACCTACAGGCAAAAAGCCAACAAGTTGGCAGAAGAGACAAGCAGGCAAGACGGAACTTTAAGTGAACATAGAAAAGACGGAGGTGATGAGTGATCAACCAACAACAAGTACAAATCACTATCCACCGGATAAATTTGAAAGAGGTCATTTCCTTCACTTATCTAAGAAGCATCGTCTCAACTACACATACGGAACGGATGAAGATATCAAACCTAGCTAGAATAGGAAAATAAAGGCGGACCCTGAAATCGGTTTGTAAATCCTCTGCAATTAGCATAAAGAACAAGATTCGGATTTCCAACAGCAATGTTAAGTCAGTCGGTACTTCTACTTAGGTCAAAAACAGGCTACGACAGACTTTTACCAACCGCTGTTTGCGTTCCATATTGAAGATCAAATATAGTCAGTAAGAAGGAACTCTGAGAACTAACCAAGCAAGAACCTCCTATTGCTCAACAAATATTCAGAAGAAAATGGAGATAGATGTATTGGGCACACATTGAAGAGACAGTCGAATGACATCGCGCAGTGGGCTATCGCTCCAGTGGAAACTGAATAGGAAGCAACGAGTGGAATAAGCTAAGGAGGACCGTACAGAATAGGAAAAAGTGGAAAAGTGCTGCTGAATACCTATGTTTCATTCGGAACCCAAGGGAATAATAATAATAATACTCCATGATATAGAATTTAAATAACACTACTTCGGTGTACCTTTCTCTTTCTCAATTAACGTACTGACAGATAGTAGGTTGTAAAACAGACACCTTTTTTCCAGATTTGATAACTAAAGTGGTAAAATCGACACAGCCGATTGATGATCAGTTAGAAAATGAAAACCGGATGAGACAAAAGCACCTACAACGCGATTATTGAATATTTTGAAAGAAATTAGAAAACCTCACAAATTACCAATCCAAGGAAGAACATATAACAACTCTTACACAATTAACTATCAGTCTACATTGAATAAATTTATAAATTAACAATTCTGATGAAATCACAGTTAATTGTGAATTTACTGAAGATCACATAACATGAAAGATGTCTTACTGACTCAACTTAGCTAACGACATGAGACTTTTCCTAAACTCTGAATACAGAAAAGGTGTTTTTTCTGGTCATTGAATTAACAATGTACCTGATTTGCTGAAATATTCTGTCGCTTTCCCATGGACTACACCTCTGCTCTTAGTGTGACACTGATCTTGACCTATTTTCAATTTTAGTTGAACTCTCTACTAAATTCTATCGATTATTTTATTGTCACTCTGTTATAAGTGTTACTGTTTTTGTTGGTTGTTATCTAACTTGACTAAAATCAGACTCCAAAAACGACACTATGGCCAACAACTAGTCGCTTGAAAATATTAACCCACGCTGAGGTAGACAGAGAAGTCAGAGTTAACCGAGACAACCACAACAACAACCTTTATTATACACAATACAGGGTATATATATATATATATGGTTTATAAAACAACGGAAATTTCTAACTATAAATAGATAATCGATCTCTCACTTATCACCTGACCTTGAAGGTCCTCCGAAATAAATCAACCAGAAATTGTTCAGTCAGGTTATTGTATTGGCGCATGCATCTATCATAACTTCACGGCTAACAAAGATATTTGTTCCGCCCTAACACACTCAACTTACTTTGCTTCAATTTCTCTCTGATTAGCGGACAAGAGTAAAGAATTATTACCACAGTCAAATGGCCTTGAAGCAGCCAATCAGATCGTTCGGCATTGCAAATAATTGTTCTTCAAAATTTAAGCTGCAAGTTTCACTCTGATTAGGGTTAAGATGGGATTAAGGTAGAATTATGCTTTAAATTAGGGGTGAAACTTGCAACGACGATTATGGGCAGTATCCGTTTGAAATGCTGAGTAATGTGACTATCATCATCATTAGGTTATACTCATCATAAAGTCAGTCATTCAACAGAATTAGTGGATCCTACAACTGCTACTCACGGATGCTGGTTTACTTATTACAGCCACTCTTATGGAAAACTGAGACCTCTTTGTACAGCATATCAGAGACATATACCTTATATGATTCATTTCTGTTGCATATATATATCCAGTAAACATACATTTTTATATTATCAATTCCACTTTTCAACTAGAAGCACAGGATTGGCCGGCTCAAGGTCACTTGACTGTAGTATCTATTCTCTGCTGTTGCCGACTGGCATTTCTATATTGGGTAACTTGGAGACTCTAAGAATGAAAATTATATGAAACATATACTTGGAAAGATCCCATTTGTTTTCAGAAGAATATGCTATACATATACATATATGCGATTTTACTCAGTTTTATGATGTCGTTGAAAAAGACTAGCCCCTCACATTCAATATGAACTAACATGGATTTTTAAGCTGTTCAAATAGACTTTTCGTTTAAGAGAGATTATGAATCATACTTATTGTACAAGGAAGGAGGTTGATGATGCATACTATACAGATGAGACAGGATTCGAACGCACGGTTCACTTATTGAAGAGTATCAAGTGGGCTACCGTCGAACTTTGTCACTTTGTCATAATGAGCATGTCTTAGCGAAATTACAATTAGATTTTTATAACTTACATTACATTTTATGTGTATTTTCCCTTGGAAATGTACTTATTATGTCTGTGTATATAATTTAAATTTTTAGCAGAATATTGGTCTTGATTTAAACAAAGAATTGTCTCTGTTTTCTTTAGAAAAAGGAATTACTGCTGCAATGTATTGATTACAGAACAAGTTAGAAGATAGACAGACAGACAGAGGAAGAGAGAGAGAAACTTTCACCTTACACACAGTAAACTGAACAACAGTTTATAACATAATATCAACACAAAGCACAAGATTGATATGATGATAATCATCTTGTGTACGCGTAGATTACTAAAAGATTTCACAAAATCGATAAATCTTCGTACTGTGGATACTATATATATATATATATATATATATATATATATATATGTAAGTACATGTTGTACAGAATACTAGTTGTTATATATCTCAAGATAATCCAACATTTGCACAAAAATATATCGCCGAGGATTTCTTTAAAAACTCTGGAGATTAGATAATGTACATTTGTACACATTTGAAGGGGTCGAGTGTTACAATAAAAGACGAGAAGACCTCCTAAACACTCTGATACGATCACATCTGTAAGCAGCAGCTAGACTACAAAGGAGGTAGAGAATTCAGTTGGAAAACTTTTAGACAGATACTTAACTTTGTGATTAAACCGATAATTTCTTGATATATTATTGAAAACCAAGAATCATGGAACAATTGTAATGCGACCGAGATAATTCAAATCCGAATGTGTCAGGTTAAAAAAATGAGCATATAAGCATTCATTCTTCAAGTGTGAATACAATGATCTGTGATTTGAAAATTCTACTGACTTAAGAATGCACCCCCACAATCTAGTATTATTGGAATATTTGGAATACTACACATTGAAGTTGGAAACTAAACATATTGCATTCTAACTTCCAGACTGAGTAGTGAGTGACTTAGTCGCTTTGAAATCTAACAGTTTTCAGCTTAACTGTTCATAGGGTTGTGGATGTGTACTACTAATGAAGATTCCCAGACTACAGTGAGACAAACATGTAGTGCTCCCTGGTTTTCGGCAGTACTCTAACTGACTTCTATTTACTGAAAAAAAGACAAATATCGACGCCGGGAAAAGAATGCATCAAACAAGTAGGAGAATTTCAGGCATAATTACTGAAGTGAAACTGCTGACAAAAGAAGTTTTATTCGAAGTAATGCTAGGCGAAGTTGACGCTACAATCACTTTTGAAAGAGAAATCTATCATGCACAGATTTCAGTGAAGCTTGTTCGTTAGAACCTAGCAAACTTGAACAGATATTTTATGTAGGAGGTTGCCAGTTACATTTAGTTCATGAGTCTTAGCCAAATATAAGCGGGGCAAGACTCAAGCCCCGGACAAACTCATTGAAAGTCAAGTGCTAACGCCAATGAGCCATGGCACCAAAAGGGACTGACTGAAATCAGATGAAAAGCCAACAGACTAACAGACTTTACCAACAGAAAGTCTGGCACTACTGTGTGGTGAGTAATGCGAATCGCCATACCACGGGTTTATCAAAAAAAACTATCTATAATACAAAACAAGCCAACTGAATAAATGCAGTTGAATTTCATAAGGGAGAAAAAACTGAGTCAAATGAAGAAATATGAATGCAACTAATTGACATTAAATTTGTGTGATACGCGGATTCTAACCATACACGGCTAAATTGGACCCTTAGTGACTTTATGAATTGATTGAATGTTATTTTATGATCAATTATCACTTCCCATGAGTCTGATCGAACTTCGGTTGACTTCAGTAATCCGAAGCTGACTGAAGTTGTGTACATGTGACTTGAGTGTCGTCCATTTCACTTGATGGAAATGCACAACCTCAATGACTTTACGACTGACCCCTTGACTTCTCGTCTACTGGGTCCGTCACACATCAGCTTTGACACTACGATCCCTAGCAAATCTTCTCTTATTATCAGCTTTGACAATATTAAAGATTTCCACAATAAAACTGAAAACAAAATGCGTCAGCCATTTTCAGTAATATCACAGGCGTCACGCTACTATACATAAATTTACTTATGATGAGGGACTGGTTTCAACACTGAACTTTACACAGAAGTGCAACACTTCAAATTACCACACACCATTTACAACACATAGGAAGACAAAGGAGAAAAAAGCGATTCGGAAGAATGAGAATAACCAGTAATGTTAGAGAAAAAGAATAGTAACACGGAAGAACAACAGGGTTTTATTGGATATGACAAATTAAAAACAGTGAATGCATCTGCGTCATTGACAACGATGATTTTGAGACGTACCATCAATGTCTCCAGCCTTCATTGGTTCTTACTATCCCGAGGACACCAACCAGTCAGGTAGTCTACACTTCCCTATGCGACTAAAGATTTCACTGACTGATGAAGACATGTTTTCGTATGACCACCTTGTAGCTGTTTCCCAGCCTAATCATATGTCAGCTAACATTGTCATTGTCGAGGAAGACGATAGCTAAGCATGAGTAACACATGTCTTACCCATCTCGATCAATATAGCTTCACAACCTCATCGGTTGATTTCCCTCCTTTCCTTACACATAACACTCGACGCCTAACCTCAATATTAATAGTCACCCTATTATAATATCATCTAGCATGGGAGATAGAAAGCAAAAAACTAAGATCAAAGACAGCTAGCAGGCCTTTTCATTTGTTCCACTTTCAGCAGTCATGTCTTGCAGCCATAGAGGAGGACTGACTGAACTGCTGCGTTTGATGAAGTAGGTAGGCAAATGTCACACGAGCCTTTTGTATCCGTGATGAGATTTGTCAGCAATTAGCCTGGTTGGGGCTGACGCAACTTCCCAAATAAGGGAAGTGGTCAACACGCTCTGTTACTTACTTATAATAAGTAATAAAAAATATAAAAAACCTAATTGTAGATTGTCACCTCGATGCTAAGATGAATGGCGATTAGTTGATAGTAATTAATTAAAAAATTAAATAAGTATTCATTAAATTGATCATGATGTCCGATGTCTGTAGGTAATCAAGAAATGTGTAAATACAATTCTGTGTGCATTGTATATGCCTTATTTATCAATAAGAGATTTCTAAACAAACAGCTTCTTAATGCTGGGTGATTTGAGGCGGGAAAATATGGACGTATGTTCCGCGCGTATCGGCACTAGTCAACAAAGCTTCACTGAAAAATTGAAAAGAAACTGATATCACTTCTGAGATTTGCACCTGCGTCACCTCCAGTATCGCAGTCACAGACGTCATCACTGAGCTCCCTAATTAATTAGCTTAAGCCAGGGGGTCAACTTCTCGTTAGGGTGAGCTCAGTTGAGCAACTTCGACAGGTCTGCTATTGTAAACAAAGAATTAAACATGTGTGAAAGTGGAACTCATACAATATATGTGAATCATGTGATGATAATATTCTACAAAAGCAATTCTAGGCATATAAGCATCAGCTGATAGACAAATATAGTCATTTGTTAATCATTAATACTCTCATACGGTGGTCTGTATGAAATATCCTCGAGAAACAGAAGGGGCATATATACATATATATATATATATATATATATATATATATATATGAATTTAATTTATCCTGAAAACATGAAGCATATAACAACATTGATTTCATCATTTTTAGGGATATAATGCATTGTTTTTATATGGAAAGCATGCTTGTATTTTCGCAAGGACGTTTATTATCTGGACTGCATGTTATTTAGTTATTATTTTTCAAGAGTTTATTTGTAGGGATTCGATTTGTTTCAAGTTTGATTACAGATTGATAGCAGTTAGGGCACCATTGAAAGCCACTGCGAGGCGCTGGACAGTCGTTTCATCCCAGCTTGGGACTCATCGGCGACACACGGTCAATGTGTCTCGAAACCGGGAACTTCGGGCTACAAGGTGAGCCTGTAGACCAATGGAATCAGACTCAATAGCCGGCCCATGAATTCTAACTTCTATCTACTCGTGATTTTAGTGCAACTGGCACCAGCCAATGTCATCAGAGGCGAGTATTTGTCCTTACTCCCTACCGGGTAGACCCCACCAATCATGACTTCTCACTAGAACTCAAGACAACTTCGTCCTGCAGCCTGTTACTAGAGAGCATCAGATTCATTTTCAACAGTTTGTTTGTAGGGATTTAATTTGCTTCCAGTTATTATTACTATTCCCATCGCTATCATGAATTTGTATATTTTCGATGATAACTGCGAATCGACAGGTAATATACACACTTTCAAAAGTTAAAGAAAAACTGTATGTACGTCTTGTCAGTTCGCTTTGTCCGACTTTACTGACTGATGTATTTAGTCACCGAAGGAGGAAGATACGAAAAGATTAGGCGATACTTTTGTTCAGTCTTGAGTTTTACAGTGTGAGGCTTAGTCAGTAACAATGAGTTCAGGGAAGAACGATAGATAAAGAGAGAAAGTCATCCAATAAGCTTTCTGTTAGGCCGGAATAACTATCTTTGTTAGCCATGAAGTTATGATTGATGCGTGTGCCAACATAATAACCTGATTGGACAGTTTTCAGTTGATTCATGTCGGAGGACCTTCAAGGTCATGCAATCAATCAGAAATTGATTATCTATTTATAGTTTAAAATTCCTGCTGTTGTGTAAACGATATATATATATATGCCCTGTATTGTAAAGAATAAGGGTTGTTGTTGTCTCGGTTAAATTTGACTTTTGTTTCTATCTCAGCGTGGGGTAATATTTCCAAGTGATCAGCTGGCTATAGAGTGTCGTGTCTTGAGGCGCACTGTAGTCAAAATAGACAACAACAGTTTCAAAGCAACATTTGTTGAGATGATCAGTGAAACAGAACTAGGTCGGATAAGACGAATTACATGGCATGCTAAATAATTGTAGCCCCTTATATCAATGTACACGGACTAAGAAAATGCAGTCACTTTTCAGTTGTCTAAGAAGACAATGAAAACTCTGCAATTATAAACCATCCGGTTCAGAGTACAACACCGAAAAGAAAACCACCCAAGCTAAAAATCGTTTCCATATTTTCCTTTTAAAAATCGATATTTAGAAAAGTGAAGTGAAGTAACTAAAACTCTATTATAACACTGTAATATACCCAATAGTCCTGTCACATATATTAGCACTAGTCTAGCAAGATACACTGATAATTAAATAGTGGAAAGCAATTAAACAGAGTTGTCACTGCATACTACGCATCACCTGTTTTTATCAGCAAACACACATTTCTCATAATTCATTCTAAAACCCATTCATCTTTATTGATTGTCTCTTATGTGAAATATTCCACGTGTTACTGAGCTTAAGAAACAAAATAATAACTGATCCCTTTTTTAGATTTTAAAATAAGCCAACATTTGCCGATATGATCATTGCTAAAATGAAAATCTATGCATGAAAATAAGCAGCGACAGTTTACCATGATCATTTCCTGAATTTGTGAGTAAAGTTCTATGCTGAAAGCTCAGTCAGTCAACCACTATTACTTAGCGGGTTTGGACCCCTCTCTTTATCTCTAACTAAACTCTTATCTGTAATGGTTTAGCACCTAGTGCCATTAATATGCATACTGGTTAACTTCGTTGTTATTGGGTAATATGGCTAAATACTTCTTCATTAGGTAAGTAATATTGAGGTTAGGCGTCGAGTGTTATGTGTAAGGAAAGGAGGGAAATCAACCGATGAGGTTGTGAAGCTATATTGATCGAGATGGGTAAGACATGTGTTACTCATGCTTAGCTATCGTCTTCCTCGACAATGACAATGTTAGCTGACATATGATTAGGCTGGGAAACAGCTACAAGGTGGTCATACGAAAACATGTCTTCATCAGTCAGTGAAATCTTTAGTCGCATAGGGAAGTGTAGACTACCTGACTGGTTGGTGTCCTCGGGATAGTAAGAACCAATGAAGGCTGGAGACATTGATGGTACGTCTCAAAGTCATCGTTGTCAGTGACGCAGATGCATTCACTGTTTGTAATTTGTCATATCCAATAAAACCCTGTTGTTCTTCCGTGTTACTATTCTTTTTCTCTAACATTACTGGTTATTCTCATTCTTCCGAATCGCTTTTTTCTCCTTTGTCTTCCTATGTGTTGTAAATGGTGTGTGGTAATTTGAAGTGTTGCACTTCTGTGTAAAGTTCAGTGTTGAAACCAGTCAGTCAGTCATTGGAAAACATTGAAACTGTATATATAGGTTGTTTTGTGTTTTATTTACAATTTAGAAAACAAGTGAGTATTTACCAAGATATTTGGCGCTATAATACAGAATACTACGTGGAAAACAAAATTATTTACCATTTTATGTATTGTAAGGAGTGCCATAGTTCCTGAGCGTGAAATCATAATTGATTGAACGGGATGAGTTTCTTTAAATAATGTTCTATGATCCAATAAACCATAATTACTTGCATTTGTAGTTTGACCGCTACTATGTGCACTTGTTGTTGTACTTGTAGTTGATGTAGAAAAACCAGTTGCTGGTGTAGAAGCTGAGATTGTAGTTAAATTAGATGCAGAGCCTGTAGTAACACCAGATGTCGAAGTAGATGTGCTTACAGTAGAACCAACATTTGTAGTGGAAACAGATGAACGACTCGTAGTTGTATCTTGAGGTGTAGATGTAGATACAGCCAACATTGTTGTACCACTGGAAACTGAATTAACTTGACGAGTGTTGTGACTGGCTAAGGCAACAGCTGCAGCAGCTAATGCACGTACACCAGTAGGCGTACTTGTAGTTGAACTAGAAACGCCAACTGGAGTAGCTGTATAGGAAGCTGAAGTTCTATCTAAGGGAGCACCAAAAAGAATAGTTAAACTACTACCAGTAGTGCATAGATTAGTTGCACCAGCTGATGATACAACAGTATATGGATTTGAACCGTGTAAAGAACTAGCTGGATGTAATACAGGCTGAAGACCTAGTTGAGCTTGTATACCTTGAGTTGAAGGTGGTCCAAGACGAGTCAAACTAACCGGTAAAATAGGCATATCGAGAAGAATTCCAGCTGGAAAAAAGTTTAACACAGAGTTTAACAGGTATAATAATAACAACCGTGAAATTAATGAGTAATACATATGAGAACACTAATTACAGCCATATGATTTAAGAGTTACATACGACTGTTTGTAAAAAATCATTAGGCTACAGAATTTTCGACTTAAAATAAAGAAGCATATTTAGACCATTTATCTCTTTTAACAATTAAGTTTTGTTTTCAAGTCTTCCATGCACTAACGCGTACTTTAAACTAACTTTTAAAGTAGCAGGATTTGTTGAAGAAAATGAGGGGCGTTCACGGTAAGAAATGTCAGTGTTTATTCTAGCTACTTGGGGGCCAGGTTGAGGAATTACGCGGGACCGGGAGTTCTAGCATATGGATGTTTATGTTGATCGGGCGTCCATGCTAGGCATAGAGCTGCTGTAGATGGCCTGTCAGAAGACGGGTTGTCCAGGTCGACTAAAGGGGTGCAGATAGGCCCAGGGGGGAACCCAGCAGGCAAAAGTCCCCACGTGGTGCGGTAGCGGGATGGCGCCTGTGTGACAGTCCGGTCGGCGCGTGGAGACCATCCCCCTTTCACAAAGGAATAAATACTTTACAGTAAAACACACTTCGCATTCCTCATAGCATATAAACGTGTTGTTGAAAACGCTGATATTCTTATCCTTATGAAAATCCAGAAGTTCGAATCTTGTAGGAGATATTAGATCCGTCTGCAAAAACGCTTCGCTAGTAAGCGCAAATAAGCAAAGAATTCTAAGTCCAGGACATTCTGCTGATTGCCTACAACTATCTAGAATTAAACCTAAGGTTTTTTAACTGACAGTCTGTTGAATAACAAAAATGAACTGCAAATTTTAAAAATTGAAACTCAGCTGACTGTAGTATTTTTATAATATTTAGATATAAGCTAGAGTCAATATGAAATAGCTTGACGTTGTAGAGTTATCAAATTGTAGTAGTGAAATTGTGGCTTATTCGACTTTGTAGTATCTTTGTGAAAAACACAGAGGCTAAGGTTCATACGCGGTATAAACTTTCACACGTCTAGTGTAGCTGACAGCGATACTTATAAAAACATTTGTATTAAGTAGCTGAGTCGCACTCACATTTATTATTAGGCTGAAGTATAAAGTAGAGTGGGCTACTACTCACACCATAAGTACATAAATAAGATTATTGTATAACTTATTCTTCTAAAATTATTTGTAAGACATTCCTTTTTATCTATTATTATTTTATTCCTTTGCGTTGTAAATGGAGCATAGATCTTCAGGCTTCAGCTTCGAACTTCCAGTAGCAGATGTTTTGTTTTGCTGAATGGGGTTTGGTAGACTCACTCCCAACCTTCACTCTTTACAAGACTTACTACCGGTTTATAAGTGCGTCAGGCGGGGATCGAACCCCGGACCACTTACTTGGTTGGTCAGTGCGCTGTCGTTGAACCACCAACGCTGTTAGGCATTTTAATATACATAAAATTAAAACGTATTTGCTTACGTGGTAGTGTAGACGTTCCCGATGTATACGCAATACTTGTTGGTCCTGGATATGTCCCTGGTTGTTGATACCATGCTGATAAATTACCGGTTAATGATGATGCTGGACTTGCTGTTGTCATAGGATTTGATGATTGTAATAAACGTTGCTGTTGTTGTTGTGCTAATCGAGCAACAGCTAATGCTGTCGCTACACCAGGGTTACTGGCAGTACTGCTTGCAGTTGCATTATTATCACTGGTGTCACAATCACCAGTTCTACTTCCACCAGTAGGATTAGTTGCACCGCTGCTGGCTGATGTAGAAATACTAACTGAGCCTGGAGCACCGGGTGCACCACCACCTGAACTCAGATAAGCTGCAAGAGCAGATGTAGTTGTTGTCGCTAGGGCTGTACTTGATGCATTCTCTTCACTAGGTGTCTGTGTATAAGATGAACCAGACAAAGTGGAGATAGTCACAGTTGATATGGAAGTAGTAGTATTTTCATTCGGTGTGGTAACTGTAGTTAAAGGTATATCAACTGCGTCTGTGGTGGTATTCGATCCGGATGCATTTGTTCCAACTGGGCCAAATCTAAACAATCGAATCCTATGAAGGCTATCAGCAATTAACAGCTGATCGATTTGGCTTTCTTGACGACCATGCATTGCATCATTCAATGAATTATTTTGCTGTAATCCACCAGCTAGTGAATCTGGAGCACCAGGCGTAGATCGATTTGGGGGGTTAACTTGTACAGATTCACTGCCATTTGGAAGATGCATATTTGGTATGGGTGGAAGTATAGCTGCCATACTTTGTACACGATAACCTTCAACTATAGTGAGTACACGACCTTGGTCCTCTGTGTCCTTTTAGTATGCATACAAAAGATGAGATAAAAAAGAACGAATAAGTCTTCGAAAGAAAAATTAAAACCAAATGCATAAACGATAAATCTTTTAAAACAGTCAACTATTGGATGGCACATTGAAGCCTTCTTTGATGGCACTGCAAAATAGGCAGTCTACTTGTATCCTTACTCATTCAATAGACTGTAATTAACTATTTAATTAGGAGAAAAACAGTAACCGGAAGGTCCTGTTATGGAGTCCGAAACTGGGATGAAACAGCTGCCCAGTACTCCTAGGTTTCCTAATGGTTCGCTAACTGATGTCAACTTTTGATCAAACTTGTAAAAAAAAAAAGAATACTGAAAATCTATGCATATCACGACATAACTTACCATTACATAGAAACTGCCTTTGAGACCGCCAAAAGCTAGTTTACGACTATCAGCAAAGAAAGAGGCAGTTGAATAGATGTCTTCATCATTCACTTTTTGATTGCACAACTGTTGACCACTAAATACATCGAATACAAGTACAGAGCTTTGTTCTTCTCCACAACATGCTGCTAGTCTGAATAGGACAAGACGAATGGAAAGTCATTTATGAGAATATTGGCAGATATTAGATGTAAAATTGAGGGAGTACAACTGAATGAAAGTTACATATTGCATAATATAATATTCGATGTTTGGCTAAGGCAAGAACAAATTACACTGAAGTCATACTTATCTATGGATCGAATATAGCCAAATTGGCTTGGACACGTGTACGAATGTCATCCCAGAGGATTCCCTACCAATCTCTGTCCGCTAGCCCTGGGACTGGATAGAAGAAGTGAAGATGTGGCCAACCTGTGAAGTAATACCACGGGACAAACCACATTTGTATTACATTAGCATCAGTTGGCCTCTCTGGTTGCGATTCGAAAGATAGTTTTCAAATCGATGGCTTGAAACGCTATCGGATATGGCCAAGAAACGAAATCAGTGGCGAATGTGCTGAAATTTCCTTCCACCTTCCCTTTCCATGAAGCAGCATGAGGTAATGAATCTTGAATAATCTTGATAAATATGCTAGCCTGCTTTCTGGATAACTTTTTTCATCTATTTTATTTATTTATTTATTGTTTTATTATCGTTGTGTGGAGCATCTCTTGGTGCTCACATTGTATCACTGTCTTAAACAAATAAAATACATAAATATGCTGTCATTTCACTGAGCGTTTAGGATTTAGAAATCTAAATGAACCGAACTGAATTTTCAACGCAGAACCTGACACAAAAATGTAGCAGTTCAAGTAACCACCCTTTACACACAGAGGAGAAAATCAAAGGGACGATAATGAACAGAAGTGTACGGGAGAAAAAATCACATAGGAATTTGGATGAATCTAGGAGTTTATACAGATTAAATGCATCTGCGTCACTGAGAACAGTTTTTAGCCATGTCACTAACAGTTCCAAAGCCATTGGTGGTGCTTAGTGCCTCGAGGACCGCATTAAGCTAGGCAGTTTGCATGTAACTTAAACTAACAGTTAAAAACCACTTAGATTGGTGTCAACTTTACTGTTGACCAGTCGACAACTCTTTTCCAACCCAATCCTATTTCGGCTAACATTGCTCGATGAAAAAAGCTATGACTTTGTAAGCGTCAAACGTGTTCTGCTCGTTCAACTAGTTTTAATTTTAAAAATGCACAACTGCCCATACAACTAATAGTAATAATAAACATTGAATGGTTTTACAGTTACGCAACATTTCTGCACTTAGTAAAGTATGGAAATTAAACTAGACAGGATGACACTAACTCTCTGTGGCTGGCCCATTGACTTCAGCGTTTAAATTGCTGGTGACATCATCTGGATTTAGTCTGTATACAGTCAATGATTTACGTTATTATTTTTTTTAACTTAAACAGATGTCTAACAATGGCTTATTATGCAGTGACGACAACCATAACCTACACCTCAGAAATATTAGTGATTTTAAAATGAATATTGGCTACAAACCATAAAAAGACTGAATAAGAAACGTTTTCACAGTTAACTGTTAATAATTCCTTAGACCAGTTGGAAGATATATAGAGTTAGTGGTGATTAAAGATTTACAACTTTCGGAGCGGGATCTGAGAGGCCACGCGTTATGGAGATTCAACCAATCATCCATATTTTCCTCCTACTATACATGACTCAATATGACTGCGGATAGGGTGGTTACTTACTGATTGGAAACATAAAACCTGGTACACTATAGGCACTAAGAAGATGTGCCACACAATAATAATAATAATAATAATAAAACATGAAAAAATAGGTAGAGAATGAATAAGGGCTTCATCCGGAAAGGAAGCAGCTTTATTTAACCAGACCAAACAACATTCGTCAGTTATTGTCAGAAAGGGAAGAAATGAAATTGCAGCACGTTCACAAATGATTGCGATTCTTGGCCATATCCGATAACGTTTCAAGCCACCGATTCGAGAAATATCTTTCGGACAGCAACCAGGGGGTACAACTGATGCTAATGTGACACAAATGTGGTTTGTCCCATGATAATACTTCACAGGTTGGCCACCTCTTCACTTCTTCTATCCAGTCCCAGGGCTAGCGGAGAGAAATTGGTACAGAAGCCTCTGGGATGACATTCGTAGCACATGTTCAAGCCACCGAAGCCAGTGTTTCCAGATGTCAAACTCAATGAATGGTGATCTCCGCTGTGTCCAAACATACGCCGAAGGACCTCCAAATTACTCACACGATGATGCCATCGGACGCAAGCAATTCTACGGAGACAGCGATAGTCACAGCAGAGTCACCGCACATCCTAAGATCAGAGGCAAGATTTCACAGGCGTAGAGCAAGACTGCGTCCTACCTCTGACAGTCAGGATAACGTCGCCACTGCGCAAGAAGCGGCTCAAATTAGTATATGCCACCCTAGCTTCAATGATACGGTTACAAATCTCATCCGTCACACCTCGACAACTTCAAACAGTTCATTATAATAAGGTTTTGTTTTTCATTCATTGGGAAATACAAGAAAACCTTATTATAATAAATATCATATACCCAATGACCAAATTTTTTCAAACTTTTACGAGTGAACTTGGTTTGGACATATATAATTCAAACAGTTCACTTGCAAACGTGTGTGAGGCTCCTGCCGATCTTGTAACAGTACTTTGCACGTGGACAGCGCAAAGCACATACCATACTTACAGACAATGATCGACAACTAAGAGCGATTTGGGCAGCCTGTGTGCTGTCGCACAGTAAGACGATATCCTCTCCATACTCGAGGTCGAAAGGTCTTCAGGAGGCAGATCTACACCACCAAATTATAGCGCCTCAACTCTTGGAGGTCTCCTAATGGACTTCCACTTTGATTGGTGGGTCGGTATAGACAGAGGGTAGGAAGACACTGATCTTTCCCTAGAAGAGCACTCACTTTGTTACAACCTCTGACAAGCAGATTTCAGCCATCGCCTCTAGACGGCGGAGGGTTTGAGGCAAACGGTAATCTGAAAAGACGCCTAAAACACTGGACGGAGAGATTTGAAAGGTAGTTCACCGTGATAAGTATGCGTGTAACCGTTCTCATTCGGTTGTTCCTCAAATAGTACTTTATCATTGTGTACTTTTATGAAATCAATTTATGTTTTAATGGAATTGTACCCTACCACAGTGCTCAAGTTCTATTCATATTTACTTCTTTCCTTATTTTGTTGTCTTATCAGTTGTTTGGCGCATCACTGGAGCTAGTTTTTAAATAAATACCAATAATAATCACATATGATGGTTGAGCTGTACAGTGAGGTAAGATTTAGCCTTAAATTACCTAATGTAGTCAGTATGTGTAAAATTAAACATAGAAAGGTGAAAAGCAAACAGGATACTATACAAAATTGACAGATTAGTTAATAAGTTTACTTTTTAGAATCTGGTGACCAACATAAACAACCAATATATGCTGGTGTAGTCAGTACACGATAGAAGGACACTGCATGTCGTACCAGATCCACACGCCAAACATCAACATTTGCGTCCTTACCACCCGTGGCTAAATAATTACCATCTGGAGAAAATTGACAAAACCATAAATCCGAATCTCTTTGATGATCCAAAGTTTGAATACAAAAAGCAGGGAAATCTTGCCTATAAGTAAAACAGAGAAAGTAGTGAAAGTAACAGTGAATATTGACTGACTGAGTTTTCAACGTATAACTTGGCATAGAAGTACAGTAGTTCAGGTTGTAAGGAGAATTACATGGAGAATCATGAGCACTAAATGGATCTGGGAGATTACAATGAGTGAGTGTATCTGCGCTATTGAGAACAATTTGAGCCATATCACCAGCAGTCTTAAAACCATTAGTTCTTAGTGTATCGAGGACCGAAGTCAGCCAGGCTATCAGCATCTCCCTACGTGTCCCAAACCAACAGCCACAGATTCCGTGGATTGACGCCAGGTTTTGATTTGACTACCCATGACTCTTTTCCAATCTAATCCTGTCAGCTAACATTGCTCAACGTGGAAGGTGGCCGTTCAGCAAGCATTACACATGTCCTGGGTATCTCAATCGATGCACCTTCACAACCTTATATATTGACCTGCCCTCTCTCCTTAACAACAGTCAACGAATAAACTCAATATTCCTCAACCTATTACACCACCTAACACGGGAGATGAATGCAGACACATGATCAAAGCCAGTCATCCTTTTCATATTTTCTACTTTCATTGGCCATATCTCACAGCAAAGCATAGAGGAGGACGGAACAAATTACTGAGCAGTACACACGTACTTTGATCGATAGCCAGCCCGATATCACATCTCCGCCAGATGACCTAAGTTGGCATATCCTGTACGAACCTTTTGTATCCGTGGTGAAATTTCGTCAGAAATTAGTCCGTTACAGGTCAACATGCTCTACCACTTTACTCTCTATCCTTACACTAGGTGTTGGTGTAGGCTGGTCCCTGTAGAATCATGTTACATTTGGCAGGAAGGAATCACATGCTAAAAATACTTATATTTTAGTTCAAGGTGTTCGGAAGACTCTGCATTTTGTTCACGTTTTCACCACTCATATATTGCAAATCCACGATATTGCGCCCTAGTAACAAGTCAATCCTCAAGTCGCTAAAGTTGGTCAAGGTCACTCAAATTAGTAAACCTATTATGAAATTTTTTAAATGGAAACATTAAGCATACCTGAACGAAAACGCTGGCTGTCATCACTTCAGACAGCAACTCTCCTTACACTTACAAAGTTCCTGAGCACTGTTTATCAATTCTGGAGTGTCCTATCAACTGAAATCATGTCATCTTTGAGCGTAGGTGAAAACTCCTCCTTACATATACTCAACTAATCTTTTTAGGTTGTACACGGTTGATGAGAAACCGACGAAAAAAATGATGTCACCATCTTGTTCTGAACAAACCGCTGTTTTTTTTTCTTTATTCCGAATAATCTAGTTTCTCAGACATTTAGTAGTAATTATGGAAGCAAGCAAATACGACAGAATAGTTAGTTAATATTAGTCAGGGTGATAGACCACAAGTATTTACTCAGATATACTAGCTGGTCAGTAGCGAGTAACCAATGTCATATGCCTGGCTTTTGGCATTGAATAGATTCTATCAGTTAAGTTTGTAATGCGGTCACACTAGGCTGGATGATTTGCTGTCGCGATGCACTCTGAACTAATGTTAAATGGTTGGAGGCGATCGACAGGAAGCTCTGGATCTAGGTCTCATGTTTATCGACCCCAATCAGTAAGGCATATCGGTTACCTCAAAGGAACTGATATCTCCTCTCAAGGTTGCGGAAATGCCTTGCTGGCGTGCTGCGGTCAGTACGGAATCTAGGACCACCTCTTCCTGCCGACTGTTTCTGAACATGCAACATCAATTAGCTATATACAGAATAGCACGAGATTTCATCTATTGCAATGGGATGCATTGATCCATACTTAGGCTACACGGCGGACGATGATGTGACAACTCTTGGTTCAAAGTTAGTTAAGCAGACAGAAAATAGTTGATATTTGTAGCAAATATTACATAAATATAAATAAATCCAATATGCAATTATACTGTAATATAACTTGAAATTAATGGATTAAGGACGATAAAATTTGATTTCGAGGCAGACGTGAAGAAATGCCTACAGAATCCTTTCGCTTCACATAGAAAACATGCAACAAAACTGTAGAATGAATAATAAATTAACGCTTACATGCCACAGGAATGACGTTGTAATAATGATATGTTGTGTACATCCATTTGAACACCAAGAGGAGGATTATGAAATATGCATGCAGCTAACTGAGCACGAACAGACTCATTGACTAATTCCTCCAATCTTCCTGGTGGCAACATTGTTTGTGCTGGTATGAAGGCCTGTATGCGATTGATTAACTGTAAACGACTACCAGCATCCACTCCAGCCCAACCACCTGCTTGTGCTTGTAACTCAACACTGGTTCTGCACATAAGGCAACTGAAAATTTTAAAGCAATAGATAGAAACAAGATTTTCATGAAGTAGCTAAATTCGTGAAATACGACACAAAGCTAGAGGTGAAACGTTTGGCCCAAAATGTTGTGTAGTGAGATAGGGAACACAAAATAGATCAGTGCAAACAATGTTCTGGGAAATAAAATGCATGAAACAAATGTTTTAATTACATATTTATTGATAGTGTGTAAAACCACACTAGTTTACAGTTGGCAGTCAACAAAACTCATTCAAAGTAGGGCTTATTGTTACCTGATTACTTACGGAAATCGCTATTTTACGAGTGGAAAAGAAACCTTTAAAATACTGAGCTACTGTGAAAGATTGCTACTGATGATCTATGGCATTAGGGAAATGTAAGTCAAACTTCTACTTGTACACAGAAAAACTAATGCGTACCTAGCCAAATCAGAATCTGAAGAGAAAATGTCTGGGGATTTTTAACATTGACTTGAAAAAAAGTATTACCACTAGTAAGTACAAACAATCATATACACACATCAGTTTCTATTTTGGCTTTAGGAATAGACAGTCATTTGACTTTAATATTTAGGCCTAAGATTGGCACGTAGGTTACTTATAGTAAAGGTTGGTGAATGAGGATAAAAATAATTACCTGGAGTCACAGTAGGACCCCAACTCACAATGTTAGCATTTTTAACACGGTGTTTTATCGACTAAACTACAAAACCACGTTTTTGACCAGCCCATCATTTCACCATCACAGTACGACGAAAACAGAGATACGAAGACCTTAAAAGGATAGTTACCTAATTATTCATATGATAACTGGGCGAAGCCCCTTATGACTGCCGTGAAATGGTGACCTGGTTAGCAGTTGGATCTTACAACTCAGTCATTAGACTATCAGTTTGGTAATCCAGAGGGCAGTAGTTCGAATACTGATACAACCCATTTCCACTTTACATGCAATCACCGCGCATTAACCATTTCTCCTAATATTTCTTAAAAATATTTTAATGGATCTGAGGGTATTAGTAAATATTTGCTATCTCAGGTAAGCGTTTCGGTATAAAATGCGATTTAGCATTCAAGTGTACAGTAAGTTTTGTACTCACTATGCGCACATGACTTCAAGGAGTCCATATGGTTTGTGACAACAATTGCTAATAGTTGAAAATATGGCAGTTATGTTTCGGCTAGTGATGGTTTAGAAGATAAGAACATCTGTCATACAGTTTAGTTCAAGCATATAGAACACACCTGAGTCATTTATAGTCAGTTAGAACTCAGCTGACACTAGACTATGAGATACACTTAGTATGTGAGGAATGATGACTGTACCTGGTTGTCCAGGTTGAAGTCCAGCAATATTCGAACCTGGAACCCATAGGTTGGAAGTGTTCCAGCCAATAAATCACATCTCCACAGTTAACCATCGTGAGACTTCAACTTTGATTGAGCTATGAGCTATTAGAAGTGAAAGGCTTTTCATGAACAGTACTATGAAATTCAGCTGTAAGTAACTGCATATGTTGGAAGTATACGTCAAGCTGTATGTTTCTGAATTACCAATAAACAGATAGTACAAAATATTCAAAAATACTGGAAATTGCATTTTAAGCATATACATATCACAGCCGAAAGTGTATTCGGGTGCACATATAGCATCTCTATATTTATCCACCTGTATTGAGATGATGGTACGCGAAAGGTTAGAGGACAGAACTGCATAAATAGTTGGTGAGTAGCATCATTTATTGATTGAAATATACCTTACACACCAAGAATACTAAGAAAGGCACTATAAAAAAAAACTGTAAGGACGATATGGAGGAAAAGGAAGAGACAGAGGATGGACAGTAGAGGAAACGTACGTATTCTTGTGAACAGAATTCACGGCGGTGTTCGTTACCTTTTCTTTTCTTCGTAGTAGCCAAATACGCCACAAAGTGATCACTATGATTTTCGATTCTGAGCCACATCCGAAAAAAAATGTTGAATTACGGAGCTGTTTTAGATCGTTAATTTAGCTTCACAAATAACAATCATTAGATAACAAATCCAAGTCTGTTCGGTCTTATTTTGAAAGTTAGATTATATCATTGGACATAATCTATTTCGTAATATATCGACACGTTAACCAGTGGATTATATAGACTTCTCGTAAGACTGATTTAGCTTAAATTAATGCAACTCAGCTTAAAGGCCATAAAAAGTAGAAACATCACTTAAATTTAAAAAAAATACTAAGTTGAGCAATGTAGTGTAACAGAAAAATGTTCTCATCACCTAGCCAGTGTGTGTACTCGCTCTGTATTTCGTTGCATGGGTGTAATCCGGTTGCGCAGCAGGGTAACAGCAGGCATTACTTCATTGGCTTCCAAATGCTCCAAGAATCGTTGTTCCAGAATTAAAAACCGTACTTCTTCGACACTATTCACATCTCCTATCATTGGTGCAAGCTTATCTATCGTAGCTTCCGCCTGAAGAAATAATCACATAAATGATAAGATTTTTAGCTAACTTCGGTAAAAGGTTGATTAAAACAGTACAATTAAACAACCATTAAAAGTTTTATGGTGTAAGCTATCAGTCATGCTCATTACAAAAGGACCAAAGAGCAATGCTCTTCAGCTGGAGATGAAAAATGTAGATCCAGTGTGGAAATCTGTGAGATAGGTACATAGAGACGAAAGGACTAAATCGAGGTGAAACTGAATTTTCATGGTGTAGCTTAAGTATCAAGAATCAATAAACAAAATTCAGGAAGATTACTACAGTTGGATACAGAATAACTGAGGAAATCATAAGATCACTTCTGCTTATCTAGTTAGGCAAAGTCGCTTACAAAGTGCATGAATCTATGAATATCCTGAGAAAATGAATAAAATGTATTTGGTATGCATCACCCCACTGAAATGTAAGGTGCTGCAATAGCACTAATTTATGTTAGCTCCGAATTTAAAGCTAGGAAGGAAAAATGGTACATGTTAATCATATCTACCACCCAAATATCTGTACTCAACTTAGTGGAATGACTGGTGAGACAGAAAAGTTTGGCCACAAGTGCCTTTACAGCATCGCGTGTATATTTTAGAACCAAAAAGTAAGTAATGCTGAGATTAAAGATAGATTATTGTGTAAAAAACGTAAACTAGTCCATGAGGTTTCGAATCGCTACCGAATTAGATATGCATTACGCATGTGGACGAGAATATTTCTGCAGTGTTACAGGTGTCTTAGCAATGTCGGTAGATGAAAATTCACCTCATGAACTAATTTACTTCCCTGACATGGTAACGCATGTCTAACCTTAATACTTTTCTCTTGGTGCTTCCCCATTACACGGAATAATATGAGAGCATTGTAACCTTATGTTTTTTCACCTATGTCACTTGTAGATATATATTTCCTTATCCTGTACATCATCACTTAACTCAACGAATCTAAACCACTTCGTTTTAGATAAAGATAGTTCGACCTCTGTTTATAACGCCATCAGTACCTCAGCTTAACCGTTTTATCTGCTTAGTCCAGAATGACTATATAAACCTGAAGTAAAATTAAACAGGTAAGGCAGTATGAACCCTAAGAAAAAGTTGAAGTCAAGGAACGACTGGCTACAAACCTTAATGCAACTATATGGGCACACTAGGGAAAAGCGCAATTAAAAATACACAGCCAGTGTAGAATAATATCTGTTTGTTGCGGAATCTGATGGAGGGCAAAGGTTTGATCCGCAAAGCTGTGTCCTGGCATGAAACCTATCTCGTACTCATGGTAATTGCCGGTGCTTATATGCCGGGTGGCTATAGACCTTGGACATTATGCCGTAAGAGGATTTCTTCAGTTCCTCATAAACGACAATGATTTTATGTCAAAAACAGAACGAAGACCTTTCCTAATTTTCCGAACTGAGCCACTTGAAGAGAATTCCTGATTGTCATCATATTGTGCCGATATTTTGCCGTTTTTGAAAGAAGCATCAAACATAAAGGACTAATCACACCTAGATCAAATAACCATGTAGATGAATTGTACGTTTCAACCATATATTCTGAGCTAACTAAGCGCTCGTTTTTGTCAAAATAGTAAATGAGAATTCGACAGGAACGGAATGAATTTGGAATACTCCCACTTTTCATTATAATTTCAGTAGTAGTAAATCTGATACTGTTCGTAAAATGCTGTATAATCGAAGTTTGATTAAACACAGAAATGTTCATCACTCTTCAAATATGCATACTCTGTTTTAAAGTGAATAAAAAGGAAGCAGTATGTACTAGATCTTGATATCGTACTTATGGAGGGGATTCAGAAAACGTGAATATTCACAACATTCCGGGTGACAGTATCAGAAATGTACGGTTTCAGGAGTATCAGGGGGATTAAAATCAATCTAATTTACAGTCAGACAGACTTCTTCTAGAACATAACTAGATAGGCTCAGATACCATGATGAACACTACTTATTCAATATAATACTAAGGATCGCTAGGAATTCAGTGAGTACTATTAGAGTTGCAAACGAGGATAAAAAAGTTGTCGGGAAACTTTCAGTTATCATTAGTCTTCTGGATGATTTCAGTTTGTGAGAAAACTCTTAGGCCTGATGTAATAACAGCACTACATGCAGAGACCAATACATGTTAGTGACGCTACTTACAAAGGGAGACTAGTGCGGTAAGTTAATATCAATAAGCCTAAAAGCCAAGATGTTACTATGGAAATAGTGCTTAAAGACGCGTGTGAAGATGTCAGATTTATGCATGAACCCTTCTTCACAGAGTAGAAGGCAGAATTCATGGTATAAACTGCTCAGAGACAAATCTAATTGCAGGATTCTCCGAAGAGACAAGTAAATATTTCTTATGCCTTAAACTCAAATATTGAAAAGAAGATAAATGAAAGTAATCTGCAGGAAAAATAGACACGCCAAAAAGAATAAGCAAAGAAAGCCGGACGTTTTAGGTTTATAGCTAACAGTAACTGTTGGTTTATATTAGTTATCCATGATTCGTAACAGCTGTTTCAGTCTCAGGAAAGAATTCGCCATTTCCTTGAAAACTGTGGATGCGACTAAAGTAATTTTGAGCTAGCTAACCATGAAGAGCGACAAGATAGACGTAATTACTGAAGAACCCTTAATTCAATCTCATAGAGTATGGTATACGTCTAATGCCCAAACTCCCTGAAACATGTCCAGAAGAGTCAAAATCCGCTTTCAATCAATACAAATATCAGTTAATGACCGACTTACATCGCACCATCGGCCTTCTAATATAGCATGACGAAGTTCTGTAGCGTCGCTGTGCTCTAAGGCTATTCCAGACTCTTTTGACAGTTGCGTATATGTTCCACTAAAAAATAGAATTCACCGGACAAAATGTCATACTTGAACCCTTTATCACATAAATATTGGCCTATGAGGCGCAGCATTTCCTCATCGCGAACTGATAGATTCCTTGATGTTGGCATAGCCAGTGCATAGTCGTTTTTAATTGCATTAACTCCATTAAACTGACCGTAATAAACATCCCCATTTTGATGAAGCATAACTCTGATCTACAGTTGATGGCAAACAATCCCTACCAAAAATAATAAGATGAGAAATATATGAAGTCTATGTGATACAACAGCTGATCCGAGATTCCTAGTCGGTTTAAACGCGTATACAATGTTCAATACTTAGTTCCGATAGCTGCCGGTTCATTATCTAAGCATCAGGACCCATTCATCATGAGATATTTTGAAAATATATTGGCTTTTCTGAATACTTTGAAGCAAAATGTTTCTTTACACAATTAAAAGTAGTGTCTTTAACTCTAGTTACTGGGAGCAACTATATACATACACATTACTTTTTGTGTCCAATTTTAAAAAATATTTGTTATTTTACAAATAAATCCAGGCCGTAACTGAAATCCATTTCAGAATTCATTCGCACTAGGCTGTGATTTCGAAGCGAACATACGGTTGATGACTCAAATGTACTGTTCTGATAGAGAGCCTATGTCCCCACTGAATTTTTCGTCCTTCAAGTTCACTATTTTATTCACTTAATTAATGCGTCTGCCATATTTCCTTAAACGAGAAGACTGAGGTTCTCTAGGAATTGCCTCGCGCTTCCTCCATAACTCGAATACGACGGATCGACCATAGCTAACACGTATATGTGTAGAACTTAAGCACTGTAATGGTAAGCACAGTTCCCCACCCGTCAAATGCATCAACATATGGCTTTCGGATAGCCCAGGCTTAATCATTTGCACATAGTGCCTTAGTGGCAATTAGTTCCAGAACTATCAGCACCGCTGCCGAAGCTGATGCAACCGTGGTCTGTGAAGTGTCAATCTTTGAAACAGATGTGCTCAAATTTTACTTCATAATTAGTCCTGTGTCTACTGGTGGTGTTTTTGGGAGATATATAGGTGGCATTCAATTTAGAGGTCCTTCAACGTGACCACCTCAACGTCCTCTGTCTTCCACTTCTCTGATAATTAGGTTTTCATAGCCATCTTCTATCAGTCTCATCTGTGTTAATGTATTTCTTGATACCGACCTGGTTATTCGATTGTGTCGTGAGGTCTCTTTTAACTTTCTCTTTACCCATTACGCTTTAGTTTATAGAAAAGTGTCGTAAAAGTGTCTTTCGCCTTTGATGGTAACTGCTATTTTTTCATATTCTTCATCACCATACCTTTCCTCTATCAGCTTCTAAGTGTCCGTGAATGGCCATTCTTCTCACATCGGAAATATATACAAGTTTGTTTCCGATTTCCTTCCATGGAGTTCCAGCGTCTTTCCGTACAGATTTCCACGACAGTGTTGTTTAGTATCTCCAATGTTTTTCCTGATGATAGTTGTGAAGGTGTCATTTGTGGAGTCTTCCTATAGTTTCTGAGAGTGTAACTTGAATTGCGACGTATCTCTAGGTACATTGAAGGATTTCCACTTGATTTTGAGGTTCTGTCTCAGTGAACAGTGATTCGAGTGTAGTTCGGTTCCTCTCCTCGATCTTGTGTCCTATATCCAGTCTGCATATTCTTGTGATTGCGATGGATTCCATCTGGATTGACTCGTGCCATCTGGTGAAACCCATGTCACCTTGTGTGTTTCTGGTTAAAGACGTCACCTCAGATCACCAAATCATCAAAGGTGCATAAGTCTGCAAACAGTCCTGTATTATTATGCATCACAGCGAGAAAGCACTCCGCGACGGTAATGTTCTCTGTTCCTGTGTCGTATAGTCCCAGTATGGCTGGCATTCATATCCTCCTTCCTATGCTTACTTTGCCTGTCGCTGAAAGATGACTTGCCGGTCAGCTGGCTTCCTGAAGAGTACGTCGGCCAGCGTTATCTGTTCTTGGATTGAGGATGCCTCCCAGTTCCAGTGAGGGATACATCTATTTTCTGTTTTCCTTGAATTTGCAGTCCCTGTGATGTGCTTTTCACCCGATTAAGTATTACATAACATTATGTCGTTGGTATGCCAGTTGGGAAGATTTTTGGATCAGAAATCAGTCATTGCGACTGTTTCTGTCCACACCGAAGATTTTATCCGTGCTTCTCATGGTGGCATTTGAACCATGGTGCTGAAGTTCCAAAGACTGAGCTACAAAGTCAAGACGAACAAATACATTTCAAGACGTTTAGAAACTATATGATGAGGAATACCCACGCACCATTGGTTTCCACACATTGGATACGCAGAAACACACCCAGTGTTAGACCTCAGCGCATTCAGAACGCCCAAGCGACCGAAGGCTAATGACTCAGTTTGGTGAGAAAGGTTTGTGACTGATATTTTGTTTGTAAGCCTTTGGTGAGATTTCCCCGTACTTCGTAGATGAGTATGAAGTTAGTTTGCGGATAAACCTGGTTTCTAGAATCAGTAACATGCTCCAAAGTAAAACTGTGGGAACTTTCTTCTGCTTTGTGAGATCATCATCAAAAAATGCATGAAGCAGCAATTCATTGGAGAGCCACAAGCTATTTTTTCCTTTTATTCAGTAAAACCTAAGGCGAACCTCAACTCGTGAGTTAGATCCCGAACTGTGAATACTCCTTATAACATTTATCTGAATTCGACATTGCTTCAGTTTTAGATCACCACTACGCAACCCTCTCAGTTGTTTTACCCCATTCAGTTTGCTTAAATAACTTGACTTTAATCTCCGGGTGAATATTGTTGAATCATTGTTTAACTAGGAATCTGTTGATTGTGACCTGAAGGTTCAAAATCTTAATGACGCATAGTTAGAAACGCTTCTTTTTTGTCCTATAAAAGATGTATAATGTCCGTTGGAGTACATTGTCAATAAAAGTGGAGATGTCTTTCGTGATCCCTAATTATTCTGAAATACTAAACCGTTTTAATTATTTTAATCATGGAAATCCACCTATCACGTAATATTTATCCATCTCGAGCTTCCATTTTAACGCACATATCGCATTATTACTTGTAGTGAGCTTCACAGTGATGTCAGGAAAAATGGGATTTCCCTGCATGAATTTCTGAGCTGGCGTGACTGTATAACGTTCCGAATAATCAATTGCAGTGTTAGATGCTTAGGAATTAAAGTGACATATATCACTACCTTCAAATGATGCTAGCACGGTATTACATGGTTTTCGGTTTCAAGTTACGCCTTGTCGTATGTAGCCATGTATCCCGCGAGAACGGAAGTAGGATACTACTATGCCATCTATTCCTTGTTTGTCTTCTGTGGATAATGAGCTGTCTACTATGTAAACAAATCGTAGTTTAAGAAAACATAGTGTGCGAAATATACTTTGAATTACGCAGTTGCACTCAATTGTAATGCAAGTTTATTATTACTTCACCTGAAAACATTATTATCTTCTGTAGAAACGCAATTTAATGTGTGGACACTAATTCTCTTACACAGCCTGTTAAGTTGTACAATAATGAAGAACAACGTGTCTCCCATACATTTCAGAAAACTCGGAAAAGTATCATTTCAGTCTATCTCTTTGAGAAATCTTTGAATTCTCATTTGATACATATGACTTCCGAATGTTTTAGGACTTTATGAGCTATGTGGCAGAGGTGTAGGTTTTACGTAACAAGCTGATAATCCCTCAAAATAAAAAATCACGGCAGGATTATTACACGGCGAAGTACAGCACTCGTTTAGCTGGGAATTAAGAACTATTCAGTGAGGAGGATTGGCAAATATATAACCCGGAACATACAAGCCTGGTGGATAAAATTCACTTGTCGGAAATTTAGGTGGAAACAGATGTACTATAAATTGCTCAGCAGAAGTCAAGACGTGGTGGCTTTAACACTGTAGCCAGCAAAATGAGGGATATTTCAACGCACATTCTTCAGATGTTCACCTTTCAGTATGATGTAAAGTTTAGTTTAGGGAGCCGAAGGCCTTATTTCTACTTTCTAACCGCTAGCGGTAAGCACTAGCCTTATTCTTCACTGCGGTAGCAACTATAGACTGGTAAGTATAGCATGGGACCACTCCCTAATAACATTTCCGGCGACACACAAGAAAACCAACGACAAAGAGTCTGAGCTGTTTCTAATAAAGTATTCTTTGACTAGAATGTTCCTCCAGAACACAATACTACATCCAAATGATCATTTGGGTTTTTCTTCCACACTGAGAAAGACGCAAATGCCAGACGGGGAAAACGACAGCTGGAACAACTGTAACAACCTATATTAGACAAAACACAACGTATGGTATACTTTCAAATCCTCAAATATTTGAGTCATGAGTAGAACATGTTTGATTGCCTGTCTGAAAGCAGAATATTAGTCCGTAAATAAATGAGCTAAGACTGACCAATAGGGTTATTTTGTTAGTGCCTGCTTAAATCATGACTTAATGACCAACGGATAAGCTTATTCGTCCGAACATTTGCACTCAGAATAAGATGATTTGCCTGTTTTCTGAACCACTTCGAGAATGATATCAGCAGATAGGAATGCCAAGGCGTCAGATGCACGAGAAAGATGTAGGCGGAATCCTTTTAAACGACATGATAGTACTTTCAACATAACTCTGGATGAGGTCCCTTCCGATGCATCATGGCCAAAAGTAATAATATGTCACAGAATCGAGCTGCTAACTGTTCCACGTTTTCTTCTTGACAACCATGTTGGTAAGTTTTCATGTTAGTGCGTGGATAGAGTTCTGCTTGTACTGCTTTTGTGCTTTACTCCACTGGAGTAAGTTAACCTGCAGGTGTAACTGAATCTGATAACGGCGAGGTCTTATTTGTGACTTCTCGGTAAACAACAGCATGTTTAGGAAAGTTGCAGGGTGGATAAGCGGTAAAGAACTTACTTCAAACTGCTGTCGACAGAAGGCTTCGAAGAACTTCACTGATTGCGTCTCGTCTGAACTTCACATCTGCAATTAATCATTTCTTAGGCAAATGAAGGCTTTGAGAAGCGTCGGTTTTCCTTGTTAAATACTTTTCGATTAATGTGGCTGGATACATCACTTTTATTAGAGTGTTTCTAAAATATTTAGTCTCCTTACTCAGTGTATCTTCATTGCATATGCGATAGATTCTATTCGAAATTGGAGCAATGGGGTTTCGTTTTCTGTTTATTGTGGCAAGACTTTATAAGCTTTTCAACTGGTTATCCAATTTTAGGCACTGGAAGATTGATCTCTCTATGAAGTCCCACTTTTCATCGTGAAAGCTAGACATCCAGAAGGGATAATATACTTTCT